GGTGCTCAGCCCCTGCTCGTGCTTCCCCAGGCCCTGGCCCTCACGGAAGCCGTACTTCTGCATGATCTTGTGTGCCACCGTGCCCCTGGGAGGGAGACAGGAAGGACCCTCAGCCCGACCCCGTCGCCACACGCAGGCCAACACTCTCCTCGTGGAGAGCACATGCTCCAGAGGAGCCTGGTCAAGTCCACACCGACAGGGGGCGGGGCGGTGGGAGCAGCTCAGGATGGACACCCCACCCCTCCTGCCACCTGTGGGGGAAGGCCAGGGTCCCTGCGGAGTCTCCTGTGCCCTTGAGAAATGCTGGACAGCTCGCCCGCTCCAGCTCTGGCCCCTCAGCTCACGCCCACAGGCTACTGGAAAGGGTCTGGCAGAAAACGACATGGAGTTTCACACAATGAAGACGGTTCCCTTCCACTCCACAGTGCAGCGGCTTCCCACGACAGACTTTATACCACAGACCCGCAGAGATCGTCTACTGAACAAGACACCGAGGCCCAGATCGGCTGCTGGGCTAAGGCTGGCGGAAGGGAAGCACGACGCTGCCTCCAGAACGGGCTTCTGCCGGTGCTGGGGGCAAGGCGGGGCTGAGAGCCGCACTCTGCCCACGGCTCCTTCTGCGACGGCCTGGCTGTGTTCACACTGCCCCTGGCAGAGCCGCAAGGGCCTGGGGCGCTCAAGGCCCGGCCACAAAGCCCCGCTCGGGGGAGCCGCGCCTGCACCGCCTCGTGCACTTGCTCCCTTAACACTGTCACTGGAACAAGCTGTCCTGGACTGAAAAGACGGAAAACCGCTGAACTGCACCACCTCGCGTCCTCCGGAAACGAAGTCAAGGATGTAATTCCTGTTCGGCACAAAGTCCGTTCTTGTCATCACCCGAGAAAAAGGTCAGAAAACCCAGCTCCCTGCGGCCCCACCCCCCAAGTTCCGGGCCCGCACCGGCCCTCAAGCTCCCTTAAGCTTCCCGCGGCCGTGGAGGTGCTCTGTGGCCGCAGCGTCCCACGTGGGCAGACGCACGTCTCCTCAACTCTGCAAGGAGACTGGTGTGACTGAGGGAATAAGCTTTCCATCTCAACTGACTTCACAGCCACCTTGGGCTAGTAGCTGCCGGGTAAAACTGCGCAAGTCGAGCGTCAAGGTCAATGAACCCGAGTCAGGAACTCAAAACCCGCCGGTTACGCGGGAAGCTGCCACATGCTCCAGTCTGGGCCAGGCCCCTCCTTGAGGGCTCGGCAGGGCAGGAGCTCAGCGCGGCCATGACACCACCGCCCGTCGTCGACACTGCACACCCGTCTCCCCGTCAGCCCCCTGCCACCTCACTTGCAACCTGTCCCCAAAGACAGCATCCTGCCACACAACAGAACCGAGACCCTTGTGCAACGCCGCCGCCTCTGCCAGCCCCTTCACCGTCGGTCCCGCGGGGCATCCTCCAAGCCAGAGTGTCTACCAAACCCAACCCAGTTGGCACAAAAATCCACGAGCCCCACCTGGTGGCCAGCCTTACAGCTGGCTTCCACATCCTGGCCAACGCCCACAACGGTCAGACTCCACTCCTACCTAGAGCAGGACGCTCAGCACCACAGCCGTCGCTCCCCCCATGGGGGCACACAGGCCACACGACGGAGGGGTCGCCCTATCCACCCCAAGGCTCTCATTCCCAAGCAAGTGGCGCCCGAAAGGGCTGTCGCCCCTGCACATGCCACCCCGCTCTTCTCACACTGGAACACCCAGGCCATTACCCCATGTTGGCGAGGAAGGAGTTGCTGGGCCCGGTGGGAGACCGCGGTCTGTCCGGCTCCTCATACACGGGGGGAGGAATCGCCGCTTTGGAAGACTGGGAGCGAGGTCTGGCGTCCTCTTCGTAAGGAAAGTCTCGGGGCACTGTTGGAGAGAGAAGCAGGCTCAACGACACTCCAGGCCGAGCGCTGAGGCTGGACTGGGAGTCCTGCTTACTTTGAGCGAAGTTAACCTACATTTTTGGTTTGTGCAAGCAGTAAGAAAAACCCAGTCAACTCCACAGCCTCCACAGATGCAGAACGCTCCTTTCCAACTCTGCATCTCTGCGTGTGCCTCTTTAAACGCCCCTTTTACGCTGCCCCCAACATGCCCCTTCCCCTTTAAAGTCCTCTTATAGGGCACTAGAAGCCTGAGCCTTTCTGTGTGTCCTAAGGAGACCCGCCACCCCTGACTCCCACAGCTACCACAGGTGCCTGTCCTAAGACCAGGACCCCACTCTCTCATGAGCGTCACAGACCACAGAGGTCTCTGAGGTTGCCGCCATGGACGGGAGCAATGGTTTCGCCCAGCTGCATGTCAGAATCAACGGGGAACTCTACACCACCCAGATGCCTGCGCCCCACACCGAGAGTGCGGCTCCAGTTGGAGTTTATTATCAGTTGTTTTCACACCAGATACTTAACAATATTTAAAAAATCATCTTCTTTAAAACGATAACATAAATAGCACAACAGGTATTAAGAAGTACCATACTTGATCGTATTTTCTGGGGAGAGTTTAGGTATGGCCAATCCTGAGCATGGGAAAATGACCCAGGTGATTATCAAAGTCCAATCCCAGCCCCCAAATTCTAGAACAGACCACTGAAGGAAGAAACAGTGGGTGGGGTGTCTTGGCAATGCAATGAAATGGACACACACCCCTGCACCAAAACTAGAAGGAAAAAAAAAAAAAAAAAAAAATCACAAGAAAGGTACTGCCACCTTGTGGAAAGTCATAAATGTAACAGCCTCTAAACCTCTGAGTTAAAAAACTATAAACAAGGCCAGGCATGGTGGCACTCGCCTGTAAACCCAACACTTCAGGAGGCCGAGGCAAGAGGATAGCTTGAGCCCAGGAGTTTGAGACCAGCCTAGGCAACATAGTGAGGCCTCGTCTCTACAAAAAAAAAAAAAAAAAAAAAATCACAAAAACTAACTGGGTGTGGTGGTGCACACCTGCAGTCCCAGCTACCCAGGAAGCAGAGGTGGAGGGATCGCCTGAGTCCAGAGGTGGAGGCTGTGGTGAGCTGTGATGGTGCCACTGCACTCCAGTCTGGGACGGAGGGAGACTGACTCACGTAACTAGGTAACGAAAGATCCACACCTCCACACCTGGCACCAGAAGGCCTCAGCAAGAGGGTGGGGGAGCAGCAGCCACTGCGCACGTGCGGACTCGGGCGCCAGAGCCAGACGGTGTTCAAGCCACCCGCCCTGACCCAGGAAGCTGGGGACCCACCCCGACCGCCGAGGTTCCCGTGATAGGGTTAAAGATCTGTATCAGAAGGAAGGGGAAGCAGCAGATGACTTACACTCTTTGTCCTTCTCCACCAGAGACGTGGGTGGGGCGATGGCAGCTCCGCCCATGCCTGTGAAAGCACAAGTCCATCATTACAGGAGGGAAAGGACTGGGACACAGCACCTGTGGTACTGCCCAACCCCGAGACAAGACAAAAGGGAAGCGACCTGCTCTTCAGCCCCACTGACATCTAGACAAATGTCACGCCGGGGTTGAAGATGGGAAAACCGGCGATCTCAGACAAATCACTGTTTTCTCAGGGAAGGTATTCAGGAGCCCTGAATGAAGCCAACAAACGAGTTTTAAGGCAAGGCAACACAACTGAGAGGACTCCGAGTTCCTAAAAAGAAGAATGCAACTATTCCAAGAGTGTGCTCCCCGTCAGGCCCGTCCATCCACACGGCCTCTCTCTAGGCCTCACAAGCCTCTGGCCAGGTGCTACGGTCTCCAATTTACAGGTGAGACGCGACCAGAGGGGAGGGAACCAGCAGAGCTGGAATAAGCCAGCCTCCATGATGCCAAGCACCCGCCTTGCGCCCCGCACACTCCTTCCTTCTCCAGTGTGCACAGACCGGACAGACACCCACAGGCAAGGTGGGTCCTCCGGCTGCCAAAGAACGGCGGGCAGTAACAACCCCAAATGACAGGCGACCTCGTCCATTTGCTGCCAGGCCACTGGAAGGGGAACAACAGTGGTGACTACACGGAACTTTTCAGCAGGTGTAAGCCCTCACGCAGGCTTATGTGATTAAAGATTTAATCACCACTGAAATAATCAAGTAATCAAAAAATGTAAATTTAAAAAACTGATTACAAAATCATGCTGCATCAGCATAAAATGTTTCACACAAGTAACTCCTTGAAAGTCAGTGTCAGCCGGGCTCGGTGGCTCAGCCTGTCATCCTGCGCCTTTGGGAGGCTGAGGTGAGTGGATTGCCTGAGCCCGCAGGTTCGAGACCTGCCTGGGCAGCGAGACCTCATCTCTACAATAAATTTTTAAAAATCAGCTGGGTATGGTAGCGCATGCCTGTAATTCCAGCTACTTGGAAGGCTGAGGCGGAAGGATCACCGGAGCCCAGCAGGTCGAGGCTGCGGTGGCCGGGAGAGGCCACTGCACTCCAGTCTGAGCAAGAGTGAGACTCCAACTCAAAAAAAAAAAAAGGAGTCAGTGTCCCTGCATGATGACGACAGGACTGGACCCACAAAGCCCACAAGGAGAAATGTGCGTCTGAGTGAAGCTTTCTTGTGTTTCTTTTGAAATATTTCCTGTGATCACTGTAGTAACCTTGTGGCTAAAACCTAGAGTGGTTATTGATTGATTCAGAAGATTAGTTCTAGCAAGTTCAGCTTAAAAAATTTCAGGTGATTACTGGAAATCTGCAACTAATCAGGTTAAAACAAGAACGTCAATCTGTTACCAGCAATGTACACACAGCGAACATAACACCACGGCTCCCTTCACATGTGCTATGAGGTCAGTCACATACAAAGTCTTTTCATTAGACGCTGAACAGTTCCTGCTCCAAGTAAAAATCAGTGTCCTTCATACAGAAGGCACACCTCCTTACAAAAAAGGGCAGTCAACTTATAAGCTGGAAGATGAGATCTACAAATATTCAACCTACATTCTGAATTCTAAGACAAGTCAATAAACACGAACATGTGTTGATTAACAAAGGTAGCGGACAGGAGACACTGCACGGTGCCGGCACACAGATGCCCTTGGTGTCAGCCCTGCTCCCATGAAGGAAACGGCAGACGGGTCCGGATGACAGGCCAGCAGCACTTGCTGAGCCAAAGACGAGGGCAGGAGATTTAACGCTATACTCCGAGTGTGCAACAACGGAAAGCGACTGTGGAACTTGAAGGAGCGTTGGTGTGAGGAGTCAAAACGTGCATGCCTCGGACTCCAGAGAGAAAACGCCCCGAACCTCAAACAAAGGCGCCGCGTGGGACAGCACCCGCTTAAAACACACGGCGGCTCAGGCCTTACTTCTTTTCCTCCTCTCGCGCTCATAGTCTTCATCTTCATCAGAATCTGGATCTGGTCGCCTGGAAAACCCGCTGGCTTCGTGCCTGTCTTTCCGCCTCCTGAGAACAAAGGGACAGATGCTCACCACAGCCCCACCCACTCAGAGACGGAGCCCGGACTTCCTCTCGGCCAGAAAATACCCAAATCCTCTTTCACAACCAACTACCATGCCCAGCCATGCACTACCATGCCTGGCTAATTTTTTTATTTGTTGTAGAGACAAGGTCTCGCCAAGTTGCCCAGGTGGGTCTTGACCCGAGGGCTCAGGCAATCCACTCGCCTCAGTCTCCTGAAGTGCTGAGATTACAAGCTGAGCCACTGAGCCCAGCCACCTCCTTTGATTTTAAAAGTCTATCAACACAGTAAAGATTTAGTCACTTGCATGATTTACAATTATTAATTACTTACCCATGATATTACCCAATAAACAGGAAATAGTATATGAATAGTTAATACACATTAACTATTTAAAAATAATTATTAAATACTTTTAAAAGAAGAAATACAAATAAATCTTGTTATCCATATTTTTCAAAAAGATAAAAGTTAGCCGGGCTCGGTGGCTCAGCCTGTGATCCTGCGCCTTTGGGAGGCTGAGGTGAGTGGATTGCCTGAGCCTGCGGGTTCGAGACCCGCCTGGGCAGCAAGATCTCATCTCTACAATAAATTTTTAAAAAATCAGCCAGGCATGGTAGCACACGCCTGTAATTCCAGCTACTTGGAAGGCTGAGGCGGAAGGATCGCCGGAGCCCAGCAGGTCGAGGCTGCAGTGGCCGGGAGCAGCCACTGCACTCCAGTCTGGGTGACAGAGTGAGACTCCAACTCAAAAAACACAAAAGAAACCCCATAAAAGTTGCATACAAATTTTTAAAAATTCTACCTGGCTCAAAAAACAGTAAAGTTAGTAACAGCAATTGGGCTGGGCATGGTGTCTCACACCTGTAATTCCAGCACTTTCGAAGGCTACAGTGAGCAGACTGCTTGAGCCTAGGAGTTTGAGACCAGCGTAAGCAACATAGTGAGACCACGTTGCGATGAAAATTTTTAAAAATGAGTCAGACATGATGGTGCATGTCTGTAGTCCCAGCTACTTGGGGGACTGAGGTGGAAGGATCGACTGAACCCAGGAGGTCGAGGCTGCAGTGAGCCATGATCATGCCACTGCACTCCAGCCTGGGTTGTAGTCAGAGTGAGACTCCAAAAAAAATAATAATAAAAATTAAAGTATTTTCTTTTTTTTTTGAGTTGGAGTCTCACTCTGTCGCCCAGACTGGAGTACAGTGGCCACTCCCGGTCACCGCAGCTTCGACCTGCTGGGCGATCCTTCCACCTCAGCCTTCCAAGTAGCCAGAATTACAGGCATGTGCTGCCATGCCCGGCTGATTTTTTTTGAATTATTGTAGAGATGAGGTCTCGCCAAGTTGCCCGGGCGGGTCTCGAACCCGTGGGCTCAGGCAATCCACTCACCTCAGCCTCCCAAAGGCAAGGGATTGCAGGCTGAGCCACCAAGCCTGGCTAAAATTAAGCTATTTTAAATAGCCGTGATTCTACATGTTGAGTATCCCTTATCCAGAACACTTGGGTCCAGCAGTGTTTTAGATTTTGGAATATTTGCCTTATACTCAGAAGTTCAGCATCCCAGATCTGAAAGTCCCAAATCCTTCAATGAGCATATCCTTGGAGCATACTATTGGCATTCAAAAAATTTTGGATTCTGGAACATTTTGGATTTCAAATTAGGGATGCTCAGTTTATACAGCAGAGTCATCACAGCAAAGAAAACAGATGTTCAACATCAGGTCTCTACGTCCTTTTTTTTTTTTTTTTTTTGAGCTGGAGTCTCACTCTGTCGCCCAGACTGGAGTGCAGTGGCCACTCCCGGCCACCGAATCCTCAACCTGCTAGGCTCCAGCGATCCTTCCGCCTCAGCCTTCCAAGTAGCTGGAACTACAGGCACGCACCACCACGTCCGGCTAGTTTTTTGATTTACTGTAGAGATGAGGTCTCGCCAAGTTGCCCAGGTTGGTCTCGAACCAGTCGACTCTCACCTCGGGCTCCCAAAGTACAGGGATTACAGGCACCCAGCCTCTAAGGTGTTTTCCAAACAACTCACCCAACACACACTTGAGGCATTCAGAGTCTACAGACGCCATGCGGGGATGTCTTACAAATCTCCGCCAGCCGCAACAGTGAGCCTCAGCCTCACAAGTCTACACTGAGCCCTTCGGTGCGTATTCGAAGGCACACTACGACCGCAGAGCACCGGCAAGCAAGGCAGCCTTACTTTTCCCGCTCTTCGATCTCCTTCTGTCTCTCCAGCTCCCGCTGCCTCTGCCGCTCCTCCCTCTGGCGCTTCACTACTTTCTCGTAATCGTTAGGAAACATGGGGTCATACTCGTCAGCCAAGGGAATCAGAACTTCTCCTGCGGAAAACCCACTGGGAACAGGATCCTGGGGGAAGGGAAAACGTCAGAGTAAGTATCACCTCCACATCTTACGAGCTGGCTCACAAAGGGAAGGTCCAGAGTAAGGCACAGAAAGGGGCCTTGAAGATCACCTCCCACCCCTTGGGTTTACGGACAAGGAGACAAATGCAGCCCCTGACACAGCCAGTTCGGAGGCTCGCAGAGCTAGGACAAAGAATTTCACCTCTTAGCTGAGTACTATTTCCGCAATCACCAATGGCATTTTCCTGGAATTCTTAAATAAGCCACCACCAACTAAAATTTAAGACACTAGTACTCTGAAGCAGAAACATCTGATTAATTATAGAAAAGCACCAAATGCTGGTTTTTACACATCTCTAAGAAAACTCAAAAAACAGAACAATCCGTGAATAACACAATCTTTCTTGTAGTCCTCGTTTAGTAGAATAACCAAATTACACGGAGATAACAACACATTAAGACTTTTTTGTTGTTGTTGGAGTCTCACTCTGTCACCAGACTGGAGTGCAGTGGCCGCTCCCGGCCACCGCAGCCTCAACCTGCTGGGCTCCAGAGATCCTTCCGCCTCAGCCTTCTGAGTAGCTGGAACTACAGGCGCGCGCTACCACACCCGGCTGATTTTTTGATTTATTGTAGAGATGAGGCTTTGCCAAGTTGCCAGGCGGGTCTCGAACCTGCGGGCTCCGGCAATCCACTCACCTCAGCCTCCCAAGGCACGGGATTACAGGCTGAGCCACCGAGCCCAGCTCATATTGAGACTTTATAAAGCACCTTCTTGGCCTTTCTGAATTCTCTGCACACACACCCTTCCCAGGCAGGCTGCATTTCAGGCACTGACTCTGACACTGGGGGATATAAGTTCCCTTCCAGCATCATTCTTTTTTTTTAAGATCAAGTCTAGAGGATAACATCTTGCGTTTTCTCTTCTATACAATTAGAAACTTAGATTACTCTTTCAGAGAAAAGAGGCAGCCATCACAAAGAGATGAGAAAAACAGAAGAGACAGCTTCTGCCTAGACCACTAGGCAACAGGTGACTGGGGGCTATACCCCCGGCTGGCAGCCTAGGTCTACGTGTGGTGCTAAAGCCCCTGGCCCGCTGTCCTAGACCTCCACTCTCTCCTGCTAGCTTTCTTGGCCTAACTCTTCCTTACTGTCTGTAACAACCACCATCCCTGGTTTCCAGGGGCAGCTGAACAAGCACAGTGAGGGTAACCGTCCTTGCGTGCTGTCCTGTACCTCCTGCAGGGGATTCACAGCCCAACAACATCAAAGGCAAGACGGGCATTGGAAACACAAAACTGACATGCTCAAGACAGTGTATGTTCAGTATCAACAGATCTAAATCCAACAATTCCTGCGTGCTACTGCTTGGCTTACGTTTTGCATTGCAAAACAAACTGATTTCATTTCCTTATGGCTAAAAACCAGGAAACCCTGCGTTCCAATGAATAAAAGCAATTAGAAAAATAAGTATAATCACCTCCCAGGCCCTACCACTGGAATATTTATTGAACATAGAATTCCCAGAGGGTAGTTATGAACTTGTATTCACAGAAAAGACATTTTAAAAACACAAAAGCACATGAAGGAGATTTCTTTTCAGTGATCACTTAGAGAGAAACTAACAATCAGCCAGTCAATTTATGTAATACTATTATCACAAGGTGTCTTAAGTAGGAGACCATATTGTCACTATGAGGTTCTTTTTCATTTCAAAACTGGAGAAACAACTCATGCTGCATAAACCTGATTAAGTTTGATAATGAATCGTCCTTTTCTAAATGCTGCAAAGAACAGAGCGGGTTGTTCAATTTTTAAAAATTAAAGAGTCAATACTCTAGTGCTAGACTAATGCTCACTCATATTTTAGGTGATATTACTGTGCACTGCTGGGAACAAGAACTAAAACAAATCGGTCATAAAAATGGCCACCTTAGGAAATCGATCCCAAGACAGTAACTCGTAAGTGCACAGAAAGTTCTCTGTAAAGATGGCCATTAAAACGGAGTACCCTCAGTCCAGTGAGTATAAAGTTTCAGTCACAAGGGATGAGTACATTCTGCAAATCGAATGTGCTGCATGGTGACTACAAGGAGCAATACTGTATTTCTTTTTTTTTAGTTGGAGTCTCATTATGTCGCCCAGACTTTTGGTCACCACAGCCTTAACCTGCTGGACTCTGACGATCCTTCTGCCTCAGCCTTCCAAGTAGCTGGAACTACACGCATGTGCTACCACGCCCAGCTAATTTTTGATTTATTGTAGAGATGAGGTCTTGCTAAGTTGTCCAGGTGGGTCTCAAACCCACGGACTCAGGCAATCCACTCACCTCGGCCTCCCAAAGCACTGGGATTACAGGCTGAGCCACCCAGCCCGGCCAGTAATACTGCATTTCATACTTGCAACTTCCTAAAAGTGCAGATCATAGGTTTCCTAACCATGCTACCTCATTCCAGGAAAAAAGTGGCAGTTATGTGAACTGATGGATATGTTAGTTTGAAATGATCACTGCACAATGAATATGCACATTAAAACATCGAGATGTACACCTTAAATATAAGCAATTTTTATTTGCCAATTATATCTCAACAAAGCCCCCTTCTTGGGAAGAAGACCCCAACGAGATGTTCATTCTAGTGTTATTCGTGACAACATGGAAGCAGATCTGGACAGTTCTATGATTAGGGAATACTTGTGTAAGTTACGATGCATCCACTTGATGGGACCATTTCACAATTAAAAACTGATCCCGAAAACTATGGAACAAGGAAGAAAAATGCTTAGCGACTGAACAGGAGGAGAACAATTCCAGGTCCCAGAATCAACACGCGATTACAGAGAAAACGATGAGTCGGCTGTTGCTGGATGCAGTAAGAAAGACTGCGCAGCAAATTTATGGAGAGAAATGCTGAAGGGCTGGCATCAGCAAAACAACACGGCCCCGTGGGGCGCTGCCCTCCTGGGGGCCTGCCAGCCTCAGGAGAACTGAGGCTTCTCTGGCCAAGCCCCGCCAGCCTCGGGACCAAATAAGCAGGGGCAGGCAGAGCTCAGCCAGAACCGAGGACCAAGAAGAAAAGAGAGGAGGGAGCAGGCGGCCGAGACGGTCTCCACCCGACGGTGCTTTCTAACAGTTGGGGGAGGGGACAGGAGCACCTTGCTAAGACGCTGCCCATGGAACAGCGTCATCTGTCGCGACTCTTTGAGTCACTTCCCGCCAAGCAGTGCTGTGTGACACATGGTGCTGCTTCAACTACCATGGTCATATCACCTGAAGGCCATCTACGGAAAGAGAGATGTATGCCTACACCGCAGGTGTGATTTTAACTGCAGTTTATATATGACTCATTTGTCCCTCATTTTATCTAGTGTTAACTGTGATGCTGAGTTCTCCTTGTCCCGATCCTCTTCATCCTCAGCAACCCAGTCTACAGAGTCAGCCACATCTGTTGTCTCTAAGCACATATAAAATCAGTGGGACAATAAAGGGTAGGGTGGGAGAAGGGCTTTGTTGTTGCTGTTTTTAACCCCTTTCTCTATTTTAACCCACAGTAAGTACTAACTGTTTCGGATAGCAAGAATTAGAAACAGCCCACATGCCCAAGGGAATCAGCAACACCATTAAAATGACCACATGATCCTGCAATTTCTGACACAGACATTCACTGCATATGAAGTGAGAAAAGCAAATTAGAGAACAGAAGGTGGAGGAGGCACGAAGGGAAAGATATTCCAGATTATGACGTTTCCAACGTGTGGAGGGTTCATCTGTCTTTCTTTTTACATATCTCGTTTCTGGTTTTTCCATAACGAACCATTTTATTTTAAATAGGCAAGTGTTGTAAAACTGGTAAGACAAAAGATCTTAAGCCAGAAATGACACTGACTGGCTCTTGAGGGCCTCTGGCGATAGCACTGCAAACCAACCCTTGGCATGCAAGCGCAGGACCGCAGGCAGGTGCGGACTCACCTTCAGCCCCGCAGCGACGTGCGGAGGTGTGTCCACGATCTGCCGGTCGTCAGAGGAGCCGCCTCGCTTCAGGTCAATGACTGGGGCGAGGACCGTACTTTGCTTTGTCCTTTGGCTCTAAAATCATCAGAAACAAGAACATAGTGACATTTGCAATGAACACTCACCATTTGCAACGAAGACCTTTTTCCCCCTGGCAACAAACCTGCGAATTATGAAAAACCCTAACCTTGCAGTAACAGCCTTTAAATTTAATTATTACTGCAGTCGTAGACTGTTTTCTTTAGTCTTTTTAAAAAACACCGTGCGAGTATACCAGTCTTTAAGAAAAAAACAAAACAAAAACAAAACCACCAGATTTCCTCCATTTCCGTGACAGGTTTACAGTCAACTCTACCACTTTTATTTAGGACTCCACGTGAAGTAGCTGCACCTGGCCGTTCCCGCTGGCCACATCTGGCACACCACAGTGTGACACTTGAGCCAGGGCAGCTTCTTCACAGAAGCGGGCATGCTCTTATACCCTGGGCAAAAGACCCCTGGAGATGAGGTCTTTCCCCCTACTAGGATGTAAAATCCTGCACTACTTCTTTTATTATGAATCTACAGGAAAAAATTGTAAAAGAAAGCAATGATCATTCACATACAATCACTGTTAAAGTTTTACCATGTTTTCTTGACCCTACATCTTTGTTTTTTGCTAAATACAGTTGGAGACATCGTGACACTTCACCCCAGTCTCCTAAAACTATGGACACCTCCTCCTGATTTCACAAGGCTGTCACCACGCCTGGTGAAATCAGGAACTCCTCCATATCATCTGCTATCTAGTTCACATTCAGATGTCTCAAACTATGCCCAAAATATCTTTTTAATGTGTCCTCTGTGCCCTGGAATTCCTGAAACCCGGAAGTTAAAGGCTTGACTCAATTCAGGGTAAAGCTTTCAGGCAAGAGTGCTTCACAGGAGAGGCATGAGCTTCCTCCTGCATTGCGTGGCCAGGGCTGAGCTGGCCATGTGGGTGTGTGGTAACCAGATCTTCTGATTATAAAGGGTCAATTTTTCTCTTTTGCAATTTGAAGCATTACAAATTTCAATGTTATCACTACAAAAGGCTCAAGACAAGCCTTCATGTCACTTGAGTAAAACAACATAAATTTAGGCAAAAAAGTTTAATCCATTTATTTAATACCAAATTCTTTTTTTTTTTTTTTTTTTTTGAGTTGGAGTCTCACTCTGTCACCCAGACTGGAGTGCAGTGGCCGCTCCCGGCCACCGGCGATCCTTCCGCCTCAGCCTTCCGAGTAGCCGGAACTACAGGCCTGTGCTACCACACCTGGCTCATTTTGATTAATTCTACAGATGAGGTCTCGCCAAGCTGCCCAGGTGGGTCTCAAATCCACAGGCTCAGGCCATCTACTCACCTCAGCCTCCCAAAGGCGTGGGATTACAGGCTGAGCCACCGAGCCTGGCTTAATGCCAAATTCTTGAAGCAAATACCAGAAATTTAAAAACCAACAGTGGGGAGAAGGTCTTGGCACGATGTACTTTCTGTGGTTGCTTTTTCCTGTTCAGTATAGAGTTGGCCCTCCGTCTCCTCAGACTCAACCAACCTCAGACTGAAAACATTCAGGAAAAAACAAACATGCAACAACCAAAGCAAATACCTGATACAGCAGGGTAGCTATTTATACAGCATCTGCCCTGTATCAGGGATCCTGAGCCATTCAGAACGACCCAAGGCATGAGGAGGATGGGTGGAGGTGGCACGCCAACCCTAGTCGTTCTGTACAAGAGATGTGAGCATCCTCAGATTTTGGTATCCACAGGGGGTCCTGGAACCAAAACCCTGCAAATACCGAAGAACAACCGTGTATTTCTTTGTTATTTTTAGACCATGTCTCATTCTGTCATCCAGGTTGGAGTGCAGTGGCATGATCATGGTTCACCGCAGCCTTGACCTCCTGGGCTCAAGAGGTTCCTCTTGCCTTAGCTTCCCAAGTAACTGGGACTACAGGTGTGCACCACCATACTCAGCTTATTTTATGTTTTACAGAAACATGGTCTTGCTATGTTGCTCAGGCTGGCCTCAAACTCCTGGGCTCACATTATCCTTCTGCCTCGGTCTCCCAAAGTGTTGGGCTTACGAGCATCAGACTATAGAGTTAATCATGCAACTTTCCTACAAAGCAAAAGTTACATGAAAATAACAAAACTGCTAAAGATTACATTTTAAAAAATCATTTGGGATGTTTGGCTTGGTTTTTTTTTGCCTTTTTTTTTTTTGAGTTCGAGTCTCACTCTGTCACCCAGAGTGGAGTGCAGTGGCAGCTCCCAGCCACCGCAGCCTTGACCTCCTGGGCTCCAGCGATCCTTCCGCCTCAGCCTTCCAAGCAGCTGGAACTACAGGTGCGCGCTACCACGACCAGCTAATTTTTTGATTAATTGTAGAGATGAGGTCTCGCCAAGTTGCCCAGGCGGGTCACGAACCTGCGGGTTCAGGCAATCCACTCACCTCCCAAAGTGCGGGATTACAGGCTGAGCCACCGAGCCCAGCTTTGGCTTGTTTTAAAAAAACAAATTCTGTTTGTTTAAAAAGAAATACTGGCAACAAAAAATTTAAATTTGGTAATGATGAATTTTTAAAAGATTTAAAAACACTAATCAGAATTAACAAAACCAATTTTTATTACCATTTTTATAAACCAGTGAATAACAATTTTAATAAAATAATTATCCAAACCCTAAAAACTCTCCACAATACTGAACAATCAAATATAAGCACTTCCCTGCAAGTATCTATTTACTGATGATGTGGTAAAAGAAAAAGAAAAATAATCAGAACTTAGAAAACACTGTTTATTATGGAAAACCTCAAACATAAAATTAAAAAGAAAAGATGAATGAATTCTTAAGTCTCTAGTACCCAGCTTCAACAAATATTAACTTGACCAGGCACGGTGGCTCACTCTCATAATTCTAGCACTTGGGGAGGCCGAGGCAGCAGAATCACTTGAGCCCAGGAGTTCGAGACTAGCCTGGGCAATATAGCGAGACCTCCGCCTCTACAAAAAAGTCAAAAAAATAGCCAGGCATGGCGGTGTACACCTGTAGTCCCAGCTACTTAGGATGTTGAGGCAGGAGGATTGTCCAAGTCCAGCTTTTGTTTTTAAATTCATGTTATAAATTCACGCTCACTTTGTTCACCCCTGCCCTCTACTACCCAGGAATGAATTACCTTGAAGCAAATCCAAGAAATCAGATCATTTTATCAGAAAATATTTCAGTATTTATCGTCAAAGCAGTTTTTCTCAACCTGTTATTACTGTCTCCCCCACAAAGAGCCTTTTAACATTTTCCCCACCCATGAAATTTTAACATCACAGAAACACTAGATATCTGCTTCTTATTTATTTGAATCAGGGTCTTGCTCTGTTGTCCAGTCTCGAGTGCAGTGGCACAGACCACTGTTGGTTCACAGTTCACCGCAGCCTTGACCTCCTGGGCTAAAGTGATCCTTCTGTCTCAGCCTCCCAAGTAGCTGGGACTACAGGCATGTGCTTGGCTAATTTTTTTATTTTTGTAGAGACGAGGTCTCGCCATATTGTCAAGGATAGTCTTGAACTCCTGGGCTCAAACAATTCTACCAACTCAGCCTCCCAAAGCACTGGGATTAAAGGCGTGAGCCACCACGCCGGGCAGTTTTTGTACTATATTTATATGTGTTTTATATAGAAAATGAGTGAGAATTTTTTCACCCCACAGGACTAATACTTGCCCTGTTTGGGCGGCAGGAGTGGGGGGGGGGGTGTTAGCCTCCATTAAGAATGCATGTTCTAAAACATAAGGACCCTTAAAACAAGAAGCAAACCAAAACACCATCTCATCCCTGATGATATATGACAATTAACACCTTAGTAACAAATATCCAGTTGACAAGTATGTTTTTAATGTTTTGCACGTTGTATTACTTCAAGGACATTGCTAATGTCCAAGATGTCTACAACAGAAACAAAAGCAAAGACCACCCAGAGTGCACACACCGGCCGCCTTCACAAGCACGCTGAGCCCTCAAGGCAAGCACGGCAGCACAGTCACTCGGCAGAGTTTCCTCCCAAAGTGCTGCTTCCAAACCACCTTCAGCAAGGAAGCAGGGATGCCACTTCAGAACACACACCCCTGGGGCCCCGCCCAAAACGCAGAAGCCAGTAACACCCACCCCATCAGCCTCCGGACAAGGGCTCGTCAACCTCAGATGTCGGCACCCGGGTCTGAATGCCACACAGCACCACCTGTCCTCACTCCGCACCCTCCAACAGAAAGGCACACAAGCAAGCTGAAACCACGCCACGCGTAATCCCGGCGAAGAGCCCACTCTGGAAAGCTGAAGATCTCCGCTCACACGCACAGGCCTACTTTACCTTTGCTTGAGTGAGAGCTGCCTTCTTCACCTGGAGCTGGGACTGCAGAAGCTTGAAGTTTTTGGACCAGCCTTCTGTTTTTGAGTCACTGGTCTCCACTCCCAGGTCATCGTACAGGGACATCTTTTTTTCCGTTTAATGCTGAAAGGGAAGGGGAGTGAGAATCAAAGAATGCAAAATGCAATCAAGATTTCGAAGCTTTCTGCAGCATTTTAGAGGTGACTCCAGGACCTTCAGTAACAGAGGCCACCAGTGCAGGGCTCTTCCTCACAGACAAAGCTACACCGCACATGGTTTTAGAAGTCGACCTCTGGGATTAACATCTCGCTCTGTAAGAATCATGTGGTGGTAGGCCAGATATGGCGGTCCATGTCTGCAGCCCCAGCTCTCTGGGAGGCTGGAGGAGGAGGAGGAGCTAGAGACCAGCCTGGGGAACACAGCAAAACACACACACACACACACACACACACACACACACACACACATCTCAATGGCAGAAAGTAGACGCCTTACAAAAACAACTACTAGGTTGACATAGCACAATCAGCTACTCTTTTATAAAGAAAATATTTAAATATACTCCTAGAAAACAGAAAAAAAAAAGACAGAAATGCTCTTACAGATGCTGTGCTTTTGTAAATTATGATTGCGAGGGGGAGCAAAAGGTTGCACCTTAAATCCTCTGATTTCCTCATGTGCCATCAAGAAGTTTGTAATCTTTCCTGACAGCCATGAGAGAGACCATCAACAATCTCCAAGTGAATGGGCAGCACACAGCATTCCCCAGAAAGGAGGAATACATGATAGAAACAAAAACAGTGAGCACTAACGCTCGCTAAGCACGATGCTCAATGCCATAGCTGCAGCAGGTACCAGTGAGGTCCAGAGCTTCACAGATGAGGGCATGCCCAAGGTCATAGTGGAAAGCCACTTCCGGCATACTGTGGCTGACCCCAGAGCCCTCGCTAGTAAATCCCAGGTGCCACCTTTAAAAACCCTCGGCGTTCTGAAACCTACCGACATGGCCCACTTCTTAATATAAGAAATCAATCTCTTTCTCACAGACAGGAAGTTAATTAAAACTGAAATACACAAATTGCACATAAACGCTTAGTGCAGCAGTTCCCAACTCAGGAACACATTCCAAGAGTTCCCAGGGCCCCGAAAGCAGAAACTGTGCTCTATGAAAGACTATTTCGCTTGAGTTCCATAACTCCGAGGAAGAGAAGGAAAATATTTAGCACACAGGCCCCTTGGGTCTGACTCCTGCCACCCAGCACCTTGGCTGACCTTGGTCAGGTCAACTAAACCTCTCCATCTTGATTTTTATTTTTTACTTATTATTATTTTTGGGGTTGGAGTCTTACTCTGTCGCCCAGACTGGAGTGCAGTGGCACGTGCACGGCCACTGCAACCTCGACCTGCTGGGCTCAGGTGATCCTTCTGCCTCAGCTTCCAAGTAGCTGGAACTACAGGTATGCGCCACCACGCCCAGCTAACTTTTTGACTTATTGTAGAGATGAGGTCTTGTCAAGTTGCCCAGGCTGGTCTCGAACCTGTGGGCTCAAGCAATCCTCTCACCTCGGGCCTCCCAAAGTGCTGGGATTATAGGCATGAACTACCGCGCCGGGCCCATCTTGATTTTTTTTTTTTTTTTGAGTTGGAGTCTCACTCTGTCACCCAGACTGGAGTGCAGTGGCCATTCCCGGCCACCGCAGACTCGACCTGCTGGGTTCCAGCGATCCTTCTGCCTCAGCCTTCCAAGGAGCTGGAACTACAGGCGTGCGCTACCACACCCAACTAATTTTTTGATTTATTGTAGAGATGAGGTCTCACCAAGTTGCCCAGGTGGGTCTCAAACCCGCGGGCTCAGGCAATCCATCTTGATTTCTAAAGGAAAGGTCCCTGGAGGCAGCATAGAGGCTGGGTGGTTTTACAACGGCAGTGTCAGGGCCCTAGCAAATCACACAAAGGTGAGGACGGCCTCCAGACTCCCCACCAAGTCTCTTTAATGCGCACCAGCAGCTCAGAGCACAGCCATGTGTCCACCTGGACAAGCCCTTTGCCCTCAGCAAGTGTGATTCAGGGACTCGGAGATGCCTGGTGACATAGACTTGAGGCACTGAGGCCAAATTAAGAAAAAAGTAATGACCTCCAGTCCTTGACAAGCAGGGCTGAAATACAGCCATGTCTTCAGAGTCTCAGAGGGGATCCCTGGGGTGCACTTCACAAACAGTTGAACCCACTATGCTGTAAGCGCCACGAGAGCCCACATCCACTCCACCCTGTCCACGGCTCCATCCTCAGGCCAATCAATGTCTCATCTTGATTTTTAAAGGAAAGGCCCCCAGTCCTAGCAAACCACAGGATAGGAAACAAGGTCAAACAGGCAGTGCATGCAGTACCCGAAAAGCCCTCCAAATCCATCTCCTTAGAAATGTCTGGGCAAAAATGACTTTGGTCAGAAGGAACAACCAATGCAATAAATAGCTTTAGGTTTTGTGCACTTTTCTTCCAGTTTACCTAAACTTCAAAATCCATTGTACATATTTAGATATGTATCTTGAACTTTTTTTTTGGAGACAGGTTCTTGTTCTGTCACCCAGGCTGGAGTTCAGTGGCTCACTCAGAGCTCACTGCAGCCTCAATCTTCTGGGCCTAAGCGATCACCCTCACAATCAGCAGGGCCTTCAGGAGCGCACCACTACGCCTTTTTTAAAAAAGCAGAGTCTTGCTATGCTACCCAGGCTGGTCTTGAACTCCTGGCCTCAAGTGATCTTCCCATCTCAGTCTCCCAAAGCATGGGGATCACATGAGCCACTGCACCCTGCCCACTTAGCCTTAAATTTTAATCTGGAAAAACTCAAACAGAGCTACAACCACGAAGCACGGTGCTGAGTGCCCAGCTTAGCAGGTGGCTCCCAAAAAACCTACCTCGGGAATGGCCACGCAGCCGTTATCTAACAATCTCTTGGCCTCTCTTTATTCAATTGGTTACCAAACTGAGGCTTATTAAACTACAGATCTTTTTGTTCTGTGTGTTCATAATGGAAGGGGAAGACTAACACATTCTGAGAAACAAGTACAAACAATGTTGAAGGTATACAGATTCAGTAAAGAAACAAAAACAGTAACACTTTCTGGAAAATTACAAACATAAATTATCAAAACTTGTTGCAGCCCAAAATCAAACTCCACTTGAGACATTTACTTTTCTCAATACAGGTTGAATATCCCTAATCTGAAGCTCTGAAATCCTCCCAAATCTGAAACTTTCTGAGCACTGACATGACCACACAAGTAGAAAATTCCACACCTGACCTCATGCGATGGGTCAAAATCACAATACAGTCAAAACTTTTTTCATGCTCAAAATTATGAATTAAAATACTGCTTAAAAATACCTTCGGGCTATGTACACAAGGTCATAAGGTCCCTTCAGGCTACATGTGTGAGGGATGCATGAAACATAAATCTTGTGTGTAGTCTTGGGTCTCATCCCCAAAATACTGCATTAGGTACAGGCAAGTATCCGAAAAACTCTCTGCAAAATCTGAAATTGGAAACACGTCTTTCCCAAGCATCTTGATAAGGGATCTCCAACCTGTGCCTCTTCCTCAGAAGCTGGAGAGGCGCATCAGAGGTGTTTTTGAATACGCCAGTACCAACAGAAGTGGGAGAACCAAACGCCCACTGAATTAGGAGGAAAAAGATTTGCTGATTTTGCACCTCCAGTTTCTGGCATCCAATAAACTAACACATCAAAATACGAATAACACTCTGTTTGGACACCGATGGTGACGCATGCACATGAGGGCACTGAATCCCACAACTGCACACGCTCCAGTGTGCTGTAAGGGTGTTATGCACATTTTTTTGTTTCTTTGTTTTTTGTTTTTGAGTTGGGCGTCTCACTCCGTTGCCCAGGCTGGAGTGCAGTGGCACGCTCACAGCCACTGCAGCCTCGATGTGCTGGTCTCAGGCGACCCTTCCATCTCAGCCTTCCAAGTGGCCAGAACTACAGGTACATGCCACCACCCCTGGCTAATTTTTTGATTTACTGTAGAGACGAGGTCTCACTATGTTGCTCAGGCTGGTATCAAACCTGTGTGCCTCAGTCTCTCAAAGTGCTGGGATTACGGGCTTGAGCCACCATGCCCGGCCTATGTACATTTTACCCAATAAAAATGTTTAAAAAATGAATCGGCAAAGACAGCCCCGGGGGCTGAGATGACTCTAGCAGGTACCGCCTGCTCCCCAGAGGAGTCATCTCTGATGGAAATCGTTTTCTAAGCTTCAAGCCATGCAGCAGATCTCAGCAGCCAGCAGAGTCTTCCCACCCAAAATTTCAATGCTGAGTTAACGAGGTTTCATGTGACCATATGGCTCTCTGACTCCATTTGACTAAGACGGTCTGCTGACAACTCCATTTGATCGGCTTCATCCTGCAAGCTTCAGAAGTCATTATGCAGCACAATCTTATGTTCATTTAAAGTTCCTTGTTCTTCCCAAACTTCCAAATATACTTTAAATATTAGAAATGGATGCCATTTTACCAGCCTCCGCTAGTTTTCTCTAACACAGAGCTTCTAAAGTCAAATCTCTACATCACCGCCAATGCCTTCTTAGTTTTTCTCATTTTCCCTGAACTTTAAATTCACAGAACTGGATTAATCACAGTAATGACACACGCTCGCTATCCATCCACATACATCATCTGCTTCTATGAAGTTATTATAATGCTCCAAGCACCTGTGAATTCCCCATCCAAAAGAAAAGACAGACCTAGACGAGACCACCCCCAAACATATAGCTCCCCAACCTGTTCACGTGATGTTGCTGAATCCTGTTCTCACCATTTTCCCGCGTTCTTCCTATTTTATCCATATAGTTCTAAGTGCTTCTATTGCTTAGAAAGCAGGTATTTTCCACTTTACCTGTTTTAAAGCATTCATGAATATGCAATAGTTGATTCTTCTCACTGCATGCACTGAAACATAACAAGTGCGTCAACAAGACTGCCAAGACCCAAACTCAACCTAATTAATGTTGACATGGTACTTAGATGGCACATTTATTTCAACAGTCTGGTGCCAGGTAATAAAACACAGCACTTTCCAACACTTGGATATACCCTAAGAAACCAGAATCAAATGCAAGTACAAACACACCATTGATTTTTATCACATCCTTAAAAATGTTTGCAACTGATGAACTCATTTTCCATATACTGTGGTCTTTGTGGAGA